TTTTTTTTTTTTCTTTGTTCTACAAGCACACATAACTGCTGTAGGTATTCTTCTCTCTGTCATCTACTGGACCTTCCTTAGGTTAGTCTTTTACATCTTTCTCCTCTTTTCAGATGCTTTCTAAATGTCTGCTTTGCATACACATCAAGACATGAAATCAGCAATGCTGTCAGGGAGATGGCATGGGGGGTAGAACAAGGACTGCTCGAACCCAGGTAACTCTTGTCTTTCTGTGTGAGGCTTCGTAGATGAAGACTGCCTGTCTTACCACCTACGCTTTATTAGTAACCTCTCAGAAGCCAAGTGGCTTTTAAATAGATCTTGTTAAACCAGTATGACTGGAACAAATGACTTAAAGTTACTATGCAATGTTTGGTTTTTATTATTTCAGTTACCATGGTGATAGATACACAACCAAGACAGAAGAGAAATTAGGTCTGTGTCTTAAGTTAGTTTAAATGTGAAGGCAGATTTTTTTATGCCACAACAATTGGCTGCTTGGCTGGCAGTCTTAGCTATGAGGTCAAACAACAGATGAATCATGAATACTGTACTGTTCCTCCACCCTGGAGGAGATGGAGTAGTTAGCACTCTGCTCTCTGCTCCAGATGGAAGTCCTCACAGTCTGGTTCCACCACTGTATTATGTTTCACAGAGCACGCGGGGGGATGCTCTGGGGGCTGAAAGAGTGTTTGAAATAGCCTGTGGAGCAGACAGCAGTGTCCATCAGAAGCAAGTTGATGACTGGCTGTGGTACAGCTCCACTGCCCAGATTTAATCTGCAGTCCTGTGTTTATAAAAAAAAAACCTCAGTAATTCTGATTTAGTAGTAGTGCCACCTCTATTGGGTCAGGAAAGTGATCTTAATAAGATGCATCTGTCTTTCGTAGTGATGTGTCTGAATCGTTGCTTGATAAGTGTCTGTACACCAACAACTCCCCTGACCCAGACCTCCTGATTCGAACCTCTGGAGAGGTTCGTTTGAGTGATTTCTTGCTCTGGCAGGTAAAGTCTTTGTTTTCTCCTTGAAATACTCCATTTTTGCATCGGAGGGTGTTCTACTGGCTCCAGGCATGAGCTGACATAAGGGCTCTTAAACTTTCTTTGCCAGGGTTAGGTAACTTTTTGGATGGACTGAGTGCTTGGGCACCTCTGAGGAATCTGTTTCTTGCAGTTCTGTGATTGCCTAAAATACCTTGCAGCACAAGTCTGAAATTGTATCATCCTGAAAACACTTAATAAGAAATCACAAATTAGTCTAGCTGACAACAGTCAAGGAAATTATGAATTGCTCATCCTTTTGCTCCACTTCTCACATTTAGCTAATTCCTCATCTTATTGGTAAATTGCTGGCTTTGATTAATTTAACCTGGCAATATGTTTCCTGGGATGAGGAAATCCCAAGAAGGATTTCTAGATTCCTGGGAGAGGTGTTTGTCATATGTCAGCTGTAGGTGTTGGAGGCGTAACCCTGTAATGTACACGTAATGTATGTGCCTGACTTGTCACAATTTCAGAAGTGTATTTGACTTTCATAATGAAATGAGACCCTGCAAGACAGGTTCTAAGGATGGCAAAGTCAAATCAGCATGACTAGGCTGTTAAGCTAAAACATAGTAAGTTCTTAAGGTGTATAAAGTTCATGTATTTGCAGTTACGGTATCTAAAGCTGCTTCCATTTCTCTTTCTCCTGTGCTAGGCAATATTGACTTGTTTGTAGCCCAAACTTTGCAGGAGAACATTTGAGTCGAGCTGCTTTGCTTAAAGCTAACATTTTGTTTTACACGTACAGTTTGGAGCCAAAACCCAACTGCCTTTAAGCAACCACATCAAATGTTCCCACTCCAAGTTATTTAATTGGCAAGTTCACAGAAGTTGTCTGGCCTGAGTTGCGGTTGCCTACCAAGGCATCTCCCTCTCCTCCCTGTATTTTTGGGCACATGTATACCCTGGATGGGTGTCAATGCTGCGAACTAACATTTTGCTTGCTCCTCTTGGTGGTAGTCCTGGCAGAGATGCCTTGGAGACTGAGCCTGTAACTGGTGAAGCACTACTGAGGAAGTCAGTGCTCTGTGAGTCTGGCTGGCGTGGTGCCCCTCTCCCATGCCGTGGATTACAGCAGAAGCAGCAGAGGAGAACGTGTGCCTGTGCTTCCACTCCGCCAGCTCACATGCCAGAGCGTTAGTGCAAATTTCCCTTTGCTAGCAATTGTGTGTGTCCTGATAGCCCCAAAGTAGGAGGAAATTGTGCTTTCAGCGTGATTCTCTGATGTCAAAGAAAATATCCTTATGGTGGTTTTTTGTATAGAATTGACGCTAAGATTTTCTGTAGCATTACAATTTTAAGAGTGGGGGTTTTTTTACATGTTAGATTTTGTAGTAATGGTCATAGGAACACATTTACCTGAAACTTTGAGGAACTTGATGGCAAAAATAGGTTTTAACTTGAAAGCTTGCATCTTTCAGCTCTAGAATATCTTCAGCGCACCACAACTCTTAGATTCATTAAGCAGTTAAATGGCATGAGTGGGCAGTACGAAATATCACGAGATGCCATTTGATGAATGGCTTAAATGTCATGTCCTGATCCTCAGTTCATCTGTTATTCCCTTAACTCAGCCTTTGGTAGTCCAGTGTTGCTATTTTAGTTTTGTTATAAGTATGTGATGCTTAAGCTATTAAAAATACCTCTGTGAAGACCAACATAGCATTAGAAAGAATTCTGCTGGTATCTTTGCAGGAGTGGATGACTAGTGTCCCAGCATTAAAAACTAATTAGAAAGACCCTGCATTGTGCAATGTCAAACTCTCCTGGCTGGTATTTATTTCATTTTGAATAGAATCTGATAACATAGCCTAGGTAAAGTCTTTGTGGGGAAACTGGCATAGTTTGACCAACAGAGCTGCATCTTGATGACTTTTCCCTCTCTAGATGATTAAATTGTTGGTGATCTTGCTTTCTGCAGACATCCCATTCATGCCTGGTGTTTCAGTCAGTCTTGTGGCCAGAATATTCCTTTTGGAACTTGTGTGAGGCTATCCTTCGGTTCCAGATGAACTACAGTGCTTTACAGGTAAGGGAGCCTTAGGGAGATGGAAAGCTCAACACAGCACGTTACCTGCACAGCAATGTGCTGGAGATCAGGTGAAAGTGTGCAAAGTAGGAACAGAGGAATTGTTCATTTAGTGTGGTTAGTTAAGATCTTGTTTCAGTAGCAGATAATGCCAGGTGTGCTGCTTTTCCTGTACCCATGTGGCTTGTTACAACATCTTAGTGTGTGGACAGACTCCTGTACTTTCAGGAATACCTGAAGTATCTGAAGTCACCACTGTCTCTATTACTCATTGCTCATTCTACCAGCTGGAAGTATCTGTCCCCACTCCTCGGCTGACAGGACAGAACAAGTAAGCACTCCTAGTTTGCTATGGGGTAAAATCAGCCAGTTAACTCAAACCGCAGCATCAGTGGCTTAAGCAAAGACTGCTGAGTTTGCTCTGGAATGAGCAGGGAGAATTTGTGTGCTCTTCCTCTAACTCTGCCATTGTTTTTAGGGTTGTAACAAGTGGGTTTAGAGTTTCCTTTCTGGGAGCTGAAGTGAGGCTGCCTGAGCTGTGGGACTGTGGACAAGTGTCCTCTTTCTGGTGGGTCCAGATGTGCTTACTGAAGAGATTGTTCCTATTGCTCGCTGTCATTGTTCCTCTCCTCTTAGATTTGTTGTTGTGAGCTCTCCCTGACCTGGTTCAGATAAATCTGGCCAACTTAGTAGTGATTTAGTAATCTGGCTATTTTTAAGCAAAACAAGTCCAGGAGCTGGAGCTCTTGATGGGGAAATCTGGGTAGCAGCAGCTTGTAGCACAGAGACAGCAATAACTGGTAGGAGGAGGAACTTAGTGTGGTGGCTCTTACCTCCACCATATCTGGTTGCTGAGTGTGTCGTTCCTTAATTATTTGGGTCCTCTTTTGTTAAAGACAGGCATTATATTGCCCTTTCTACCTTCAGGGACCTTGATCACCTCTGAGAGTTGTCAAAGAGATTATAGACAGTCGTGGTTATGGGTGAATTTCATCAGGTCCAGTCAGTCTGGAAGCATCCAAATTCTCCACATCCTTAACCTCTTTTATTCCTATTTCTGCCCCAAGTCTGTCCTTTTCCTACCAGCAATTCGTTGTATTAATACAACTAATGGCAATTCACCTTCTGCATGAAGAAGAAAGCAAAAAGGCAGTAGTGTTTGTCATGGACATTAGCTTTGCTTCTGTCTTGAACAGTACTGAACAGTAAGGTCACTGTTCTGACTGTGCTCCTAGTGCTACTTTCTGATGGGTAACAAATGCTGCTTCTGTTCCTAGCTAGTCTTGTCTTTTCTTAGTTCTTGTTTGTGGCTCTATGTGATCATGCTATGCTATAATCAAGGTTTCTTATAATCCAGATTTGTTCTTTGGTCAGTTTTCTTGCTGTAAGACCCACTTTGCAGTAGATAAGGCTGCTCTTTTTTTCAAGGGGTGCAGCCCAATCGTGCAGAATGGAGGACTTCTCAGTCAAAGGAACTGCTGAGATTTAGGAGCTGGGTTTTTTTGCATTTGAAAGAGGTGATCTTGAAAGCTGAAAATATCTGGAGCTCTTGAAACAAATTACCTTGGTGGAAGGGTTGCTTGTCAGTGAGGATGGTGGGGCTAGGGGGTTGACTTGCTGAGAAGCCAGAATATGTTACAGCAGCTGTGTCTACTTTGGGAGAGTGCTGCTGTGTTAAGTACACGGGAGGCAGTTACGGTGTGGATGGACAGCGGGATAGAAGGTTTGACAAGGTACATAAAAAAAACTTGAGTTGGAGGTATTTGACAAAAGATATTCTCCTTCCATCAACTCAGCATCACGTTTAATGGCCATCTTCTTCATTTTCCAGACAGCCTGCTGCTCAAGGGAGTCTGCTAGCTGGTTGTTGCTCACCACTTAGTCCCAGGATCAGCTATAACCTCCTTTTGGTACATGGTAGACCTGGGAAGAGAATGCAGATGTTGGTTGGCAAGCCTGCCCTATGGAAGGGGTCATGCCGAGTCTCTTCTGGTGAATAGACAGAATTCTACTTTGTTCAAGGGTGGAAGTCTTATGCTGAACTGGCTGATGATCTTTGCATTTCAAATAAGCAGAGCTACAGCAGCGGAGTGCTGTCCATTCAGTGGGCTTTCTGTAGTTAGGGATATTTCTACTCTCGTTCCCAGCACAACAAAAGCTAATTTACAGTGCCAGAGCACAGACTACTGACTTGGGCGCAGAGAAAGTGTGGTGAAGAGTGAGTCAGGCTCTCATTAGAATAATTATTTCTTCTTGCTTGTTTGAAAGGCCAGCACTTCCTAAGTGTGTGTGTGTGTGTCAGGTTATGTCACGGTGACCAGTTTTACTCTTTCTAAAAATGAAAGCTTAATATTCCTGCATGCAGATGTGGTTTTGCTGTTGGAGGCTGCAGGCTAGGATATGTGCAATAAGAAGAAATCCAAAAGTGACATTCTGCAAAAATATTTAAAATACTTGAAGGGTAGGCAAGGATAGCTACTGCCTTTACCTTTCTCCTGCCCATCCTGCTGTGTCTCGAGCCGGTACGTTATCAGATCACAGGCATTTGGGAATGCTGAGCCCACTCATGCTTTTACGCTGAAGCTGATTAGCTCAATACCTGATCATCTGCTCAAAGAATTGTCCCATAAATCATTGTTCTGAATCCTCTAAAACCTTTCAGCTGCCATGTGAATAGGATCAAAGATTCTGTGATGACGCTGGCAGGGATAGGTTGTGTTTTAGAAGTCCGCTTGTATGCTGTTCCTCTCTGATTCCAGTATCTGAGGGTTTTTCCACAATCTGTCGTGACCTTTATCTATTTTAACTAGGAGCTAATGCTGTGAGCAAACGTGTGTCTTGGGGAGAAGGTCCAGAAGGATATCCCTGTATTTTTTTATAACCAATCAAGCAGGCTGCCTCAAAGTGGAGGAGGTGCACACAGAGCCACCCTTCATTTAACCTGCAGATTGATGGCCAAGCAGAGGCTATTTCTTCCATAACCTGTGCTGCCTTGCATCTGTACCACAGAAGAGCTGAAAGGCCTGGTAAAGTGCTAACGCTCTACTACTTTTCACTCTAGAAGGCCAGAGACTCCTACATGGAGGAAAGGAGGCGACAACAGATGGAAAGGGATCAGGCTTATGTGACAAAGAAGCTGCAGCAGGAGGGGTTTGCGTCCCACGGAGACTCTCGGCGTCGACGGACACTGTTGCAGAAATGCACCGCCATGCGGGAAGAGAGAATCCAGGGCTTTCTACAGGCACTAGAGCACAAGAGAGCGGACTTCTTTGAAAGATTGTGTACGGTGTCTGCATGACATAGGTGCTGGGTTGTTCTTGGGAAGACAATTTTTAACTGGGTTACAGGGAACAGCTGCTGCCCAGAGGAATTTACTCGGTGTGGTTCTGCAGTGGGGATGCAGGGCTGCTATAGGACTTTACGTCCCCGCTGGCTCTGTCTGAGGGCAGGGACAGAGTACTGTGAACCTTTCTAGTTCTGTGAATGCTGCTGAGGAAGGTAATGCCGTCCTTCTGTCTCGCCTCCCTGCCCCTGGTGATGGAGAATACATGCACCCTGCCGTATCTCTGCTGCTTGGCACTTTACAGGCCTGGGTGTTTTGGTGACAAGAAGTTAACTAAAATGAGCCTCCATTTCTGTTTGACTCCTCATGAATCGGCCCAGGCAAACCAATTCAGTCCTGTTAAATCAGTCTGAACTTGAATTCCTTCCATGGCTTTGCAGTAGTGAATCTTCTGTTGAGATTTCCTCTGCTGTCCCATAAGGGGAGCCTTGCTTTCTGTAGGGAGAGGACTATTCCTGGTCTAGAAGGGAGCCCTGTGCCAAGCGGTGGCAGAGATATTCCCCACTGCCTATTTCATGATGTCATCTTGTCTTTTCCCCACCTTACTCTGCTGGTTTTGATGTATCTGCTCTTGGCTTCCAAAGAGCTAAAGCGAGGTGTTGTCAGCCTTGCCAGAAAGAAAAAAAGGTACTCCGAAGCTTTGCCAGGTCCTGTGATCCCTTCTGAGCAGTGTATGTGGGGAAAACCCAAATGCCGAAGATGCTGGTGTTGGAACAGACTGACTGTGCTTAGGAAAGGCTCTGAGCAGGCAAGGAAAAAGGATTGGTTGGGAATTAACTTCATGGCTTAAAAAGGCACAGAAGTTAGCTAAGGTGACGGATACAGTATGCCAAATTGCTCCGAGACCTCTCTAGAGCTATGACTTAAAGTCCTGTTTCCAGGGAATTGAGGGTGGGCTTAGTTCAGGAATACAGTAGCCAAAACCGACCTCTGACCCCAGCCAAAATGGTTTAGAAAGGCTATTGAGCTGATTTTAATGGGAGTGGCCAGAGCAGCTGTGGAGTGGTGTTCTCAATTTTCCATTGGTGGGGAGATGGACTAGCTAATTTGGAAGATTGTTTCTGTCTCTTATTTCTCCTGGTTTCCGTCCCCATAGTCAAAATAACAGAAAATGTCTTGATTTTTTGTTTCTGATGCACACACAGGTGCAGCACTACCAACTATTGCTGTTTTTAAAGTGTTCTTTTTTACCTCCAGGTGAAAACTAGAAAATGCAGATTTAAAAGACTTGTAAGTGCTGCAGACTCAGCACTTTGAATGTGATTGCGAAGAGGGTAACTACATTGTCAAATCGTGAATAAAGCATATTCATACCAAACTTACTTTAAAAATAAGCTGAACGTTTAAAAGTACATAGAGCTTCTTATTCTAAGGTGTAATGAAGTTGGCATCCAGGTCTAATATAATATTGTTTAACCTGTGACAGACTCCTCATCTGATTCCTGTTAGACTGGAAATGATGTGAAGGCTGTGTTCTTTTTACAGTCTAGTGTGAGCAATTTGCTGATATCCTGAGGCTTGCCCGAATGAAGTTCCGTGCACGTACCTCCTCTTGCGTAAGTAGCAAACAGTAGTTTGGATAAGTGTGCCGAGATGATGGGAGCTGTCGATTTTAAATGTCTTTTGCTGTTATTTTATTTTCCCTGTCTTCACATTTCAGAAAGCTGTCTGTGGAAATAGTTTACTCTCCATGAGATGGAGCACTCTTCAGTCTGCTTTGCCAGGCTGATGGGGAGACTGTCTTCTACCTGGGAATGTATTTTTGCCTGGGGGGGGGGGGGGGGGGGGGTGGTGGGGTTGGTGGGCGAAGGGGGGCGAACAA